ACGAGAGCGCCGTGAAATCCAAATTCCTTGACACATCTTTCCAACTCTGCGGCGGCTTGTTCGGGGTTGTGCATTGAAAGGCATGCGAAAGCTCCAAGTCGATCTCGGTGGTCTTTGATCTCATTGGCGATGTAGCTGTTACATTCAGTGGCATGTTTCTCGGCCTTAGTTGGGTCTGTGATTCCTTGAATACCGGGGACAGTCAAAGAAACGATGGTGTAACCAATTCCATTGGCATCAGAGACTTTGACACGTTCACCAGTGATGGACTTGATCTGGCGCATGTAACGATCGAGGTCCTTTGGGGCGATATACATGGCAGCCTGGTCACGAGATTGATCCGCCAAGTTGGGGATCTCGTAGGCTTCTTCGAGGGAGACTTTACCGAGCATATTGATGGTAATTCTGGTGTTTTCTTAACAGGAGATAATTGGGGGTTTTTAATGAGTTTACTTGATTGATGTGATGATCAGATCTTTGAGATGGTTATTTGATGATGATGATGATGATGATGATGATGATGATGATGATGATGATGATGATGATGATGATGATGATGATGATGATGATGATGATGATGATGATGATGATGATGATGATGATGATGATGATGATGATGATGATGATGATGATGATGATGATGATGATGATGATGATGATGATGATGATGATGATGATGATGATGATGATGATGATGATGATGATGATGATGATGATGATGATGATGGGAATGAAGATGGAAGGCCTGTTGAGCTTTTATATAGATATCGAGAAGATTCAACTTCATCTACCGTGCCAATGGTATACATCATGTCATTGACTATATTTTACTACTTCCGAAACTTTACGTTGACGCACGCAAGTCTGGATGGTCTGGTTCACTAGAGCCGACGCCACAAATCCGTAGTGGAGATGATTTACTGTCCAGAGCGGCGCTCGCACTGAAAAAGCTCCGATGTATGACACTGAAGGCATTGCTAGCTCATCGTAATTCTTGCATTGTGTGATGTTGAGGTCGCCTTCTCTTGTTTCGGGGAGTTATGTTTCCTGGCTCATCGGGGAGTTAGGAACTCACGAAAAAAGTGGGTCGAAGTTTAACTTCTATCTGTCAATCCAAACACTTTTAGTGTCTCGAGGAACGGTATGAGTATGGATAAATCGAGGTTCAACCTTAATCAAACTTCATGGAAAGCTTGAAAGAATATTCGGGCTCGATAGGTCATGATTGACGGCAACAACGGCATGTTTGAATAACTGTGGGCCGATCATCTTCCGCGATTTACTAGTACCATCCGAATATTGTCAAAGTACAGTAATAGTATACACATTTTTTACGGAGTAGCGGCATATTTCAAATGTCAATTTGCAGACTTGTGGATCATGACTCGATATTGAGCGAGTAAACCAATGAGAAATTTCAAGAAGTCTAGGTACTACTAAACTCAGATAGGCGAATCCAGACCAACTTAAAGACGAATACGATCGGTCACCATTGAATAATCGCTGAGAATAGACTTTGCAACTGAACACCCTATCTCCTGCTTTGACACGCCAATTGGTGGCGGGCTTTGTGGTACAGTCGGCCTGCGAATTACTCATATACATACACAACCTACCTACTCCAATGAAGAGTATTTTCACATAAATGAACTTCTCTTTCCTAGTCTTGCAAGGTAATCTTCTTCAAAAGAAGTTGCTCTGGGATTGGGCAATGTAAAGTACATCGATTTGTACTTTGTAATGCCGATGGTCGAAAGAATGCGAAAGCATTTCCCAACCAAGAAAAGCGTGCCATCAAAATCTGTTGTCCATGGTGAGTTCGGATCTTGCCAGTCTTCAGATCCTCGACCGTCACCATCATGCCAAGCGGCTTTTCCTTCCCGGATTGAAATCATATATTGTTCGAGGATATGAATATTGTAACCAAGGCGTTGAGCATTACGGCCTGCATCAAGCCTGCGAGTGATCCACCAATCTACGAGATCGTGAGTAGGCAAAGTGAGGAATGTTTTGGATGGTAATTACGACAATGATATTCAAGCTATCCGAAGGCATGTCTACATGCCCAACGACAAATAAGCTCTGGAAATTTATTCTGGCCTACATATAATCGGTGGTCGAAAGAGAAATAGATTCCAAAAACTGAATAATGCAGAGCAAAAGAGAACTTCAGGCACATCTTCACCATTTCTCAAGATCATTTAAATTCTGAAATTGCATAGCCGAGGCCAGGTGTACCTTGTAAACCGCAATCCAACTGTTGGAGATGATAGCAAACCACGGTTACAAATTTGCTCATTTTTAACCCATTGGTAATGAACAAACACGTTGCTAGCTCGTGAATTATGGTGATTGTGGCAATTAGATAAGTGTGCAGTAATTGAACTCATTATTTCAAATTTGCCCAACAGTAATATGGTTACGTGGTCTAGGACCCGGAAGATTGTGATGGAGTTCAAAGGTTTCATGCCACCCTGGGACCTCACCTGCAATGATTTTCTATGCGATGGTCAGGGATATGTAAGAAGCTCGTCTTCCTCCTCATCGTCATAGGTCAATCGCACAAAAGATTCCGCTTCATGACAATCTGCGAGCTCGCTCACAAAACCGTTGGTTGTGAAAAGAACTTTGAAAATCCGTTCTCGACCTGGGAACGACTTTGCAACAACGGATTTGCATATAAGGGTAATCAGATCTTTGAAACTCTTATTGAGCAACGTGCCTCCTTCACATCCATCAAATATCTCTAAACCGTCGATGATGCAAAACTGCAAAGCTGGTCCAACTGAAATTAGATCTGCTAATAACTGGATTGCAGCTGGTAGTGCGTCAGCATTCTCTTTCAATCTCTGGAAACGCTCGGCGGAGAAATCGGGATATATTCCATTTGTCTCAATATCATCCTCCATCATATTCATGGTTTGTCCGATTAGACCATATACAACTTTGAGAAGTTCTGTTGCTGGATTCCACCTCCTCCAATCTCTTGTATCATAATGACAGAACTCGGCCATCACTGGAAGATGAGCAAGCCGAAGATTCCTCAAAACAAAAGCCGATACGAGAGTGTTTTGGCCAGGTTGTTCTACGCCATGTGGACCTTCAATCCACAGAATTCCAGATGAAGGTGCTATAATCCACTGCCGGATACGTGTCGAAATATCAGCGTTGACTACTAGGGATTGGCCCATTACAATCAATCTGTCGACATCAACAGAAGCTTGTATATATTGACGAAGAAACCCGCTATCTTTAAGCATACTATTTTTCGACCAGCGAGGAGTAGAATTCAATGAAGAGTTGGGGCTATTACTATAGTCCCCTGAATGATTCAAAACCCCAACAGAGCCCCTCTGCCTTTTCGATTCTGGAGTGGTTGGAGGGCTGATCTCATTCAATCTCTCCTTCAGTTCTTTATTGTCTAGTAAAAGCTTATGCACCATGTTTCCAATCTGTAACAATTGCATGTGATTCTGCTCTTCAGATATATGCCTTTCTTCTGCCGCGACTCGAGTCGTATATGTTTGTAACCTTTGAACCGTCTTTTGAACAGTTTCCTCTAAGAATGAACGACCAAGTGATTTCGAAAAGCGTTTCCAAGACGATTGATACCATTCACGAATTATAACTTCAAGGAAGTCAAAAAGCTGAATATAAAATTCAGTAATATGACATTTGATATATGCAGATCTTTGATATCTTGTGGTGGCAGCGGCAATTCCAAAAGATCGGACTTGGTCAGATACATCGTCCAATGCGTCAGATATCTCGTCGGCGATTTTACTATGAGTTACGCTTGCCTTTGTAAAGCTCTTTGTTAGCTCTATGATTTTCTCATACCACGTTCGATAGTCTCGTACCTTGACTAAGGCAGAGAAGGCACCAGTGAGTACGCTGGTATACTTGTCCCCGCTCGGTAGCAATGCAAAGAGATACTTGTGATTCTCCAGACTTTGTATAGTTCTTTTTAGGAAATTTTTGACTTTAGCACCCTTCGACTCTCGCTTCTTTTGCAAAATATCTCTTTGCAATTGTATTGTCAAAAGCAGAATATCCGTACCATTATTCGCACTCGTGGCTGGAACCCCGGTTTTATCCAGCTTGAGCTTGTCTTCGAGGTTTCTCCACGCCACTGAGAGTTTGTCGCTTTTCTCCTCCAGATTCGAAAGCTTGCTTTCAAAGAAGCCAGGTAATCTAGGCTTTATTAGATCTCCAATCTCCAAATTGCATCTCAATGTAGTACATTGAACAATTTCGGGAATTTTGTGGAAGACTCACGAGTATAGATCATGGCCGTAATTTCCTGTTATTTGATTGACCTTCTTTGATTTTTGAGTTACCTCTTCGTAGAAATACTTCCCCTTCCTCTCCCGTTCAATGTCGTGATCTACTTTCTCCGCAAGTCCTTGGGAAAGTGGCTCGGCAATCTTTTCGTTGCGAGTAAGTTCACTAAAACGTCTCACAAGGTACAAACCTTCAGCGTTGAACGTCATTCTGATGATTCGGAGAAGTGGTCTGGCAGTTGAATATTGTATGTAATGATTAAGTACATCTCAAGGCAAGTGGCTATGCAGTATGAGCCTCCCAGAACTAGTAACGTGATATGTTCTAACTAACGAATTATGCAATTCCCATTGGGTACGTGATACGAGAGGTGATAGCTGTGCATGATTCGTGGGGGCCATGCGGTTAATCACACCCTGATCTTACAATTTCTTATCACCGGGTAATCTTACTTTCTTCTTCTGGAAATCCTAATAAGCCTGCACTCATAAACACCCTTGCCGGAGCCCCATTTTTATGGGTCATGAATCTTACGCTTGGCACGATAGGTTCATGAATTACGTCGTGATTCAGTTTGAAACATCATATAACGCAAGCCAACTCCAAGAAATCTAGATGATGGGCTTTCAGTTGTGAATTTAAATATGAATCAGTACTCGACTTAAAAACCATAACTTTACCGCGCAGATAATCTCTTTTATTATTTTCAGACAGAAATGTTAGACTTCCAGTCAGCTATGGAAAACTCAGAAATCGAAGACGTACCTTCTGCCAAGAGAGTTGCAGATTCGATGCCAACTCCTGTCTCGGAGCCAGATATCCAAGTGACCACAGAAGCGATCTCACACATTTCTTTGTCTGAAGATTTACCGGAGAGCTCAAACAATGTCGACGCAACAATCAAATATACTTTAGATTTAGATGATATTAAAGCGAACGAACGGCTCCTGATCGGGGAAGAGAGCCCTCTCTTTGACCTTGCCGTATTCAATGGCGACTTTAAACTTGACGAAGAGAACCACAAGCCCGAGTCAAGCCCAACGCCCACAATCTTCGAGGTTATCGTGGTAGCTCAAGGATATGCAGAGCACCTTGAAAACTCAAAGGAAGAAAATCTCAAAAAATGTAACGAAACTCAAGATTCTGATGCCGACAATCCTAAAACTGGGACACCGAATTCTCAACCGGTGGAGCTGCCGGTGACCAAAGCTCAAGGGAAAAATTTGGTTAAAATTACTAAGATTTTTGAAACAAGAATAGACATTCATTCTCAAAGTCTCATTGAGGTAATTCGAGAGGTGGTTGATTATTATCCGAGGTAAAATCCGTAACGTAATCATGCTTTCTACTTCTTTTAACCAATCGAATAGTCAAAACCTCGATGGTCGAGTTGTAATCATCCAAAAGCCTTATTGGGTATTAATTCATCATGAGAAAGAGCTTCACGAGAAGCGTACTCAATTGACAGAACAACTGGAATGCACTGAAACCGATAAAGAGAAAGCAGAACACCTCAAAGCTCTTCTTGATTACATTAAGCCACAATCAATGAAATTGCTTCAACCAATCCTACCTTTATTGAAAAATAAAGTTCCGACAGTGAGCTTTGATGGACTTCGATATCTTCTCAAGCCAGGAACACTTGCTTATTACAAGTTCGACAATGAGTGGATTGGCTGTATCATACTGCGAGTCAATCCGGAGGCGAAGAGGAAGTCTTCCAAGATAACTAACTGGAACGTCTCTGTCTGGTATCTTGAATGGTCTTATCACGCTTATCGGATCGAAACACCATTCGATATTGAGAGTTTCGAAGGAGAGCGTGATATTACCTCCCTAAAAGTAATACCAAGAGAGTATTGGGATGCAAATGACAATAACGCTAGACGCAAAAAATTTGAGGACCGAGGTCTCAAGAAAATGACTTTGCTCAAGAGTGGACATAAGCAGATGGACTACAAGGGGAAGACTGCGGAAGAGGAGGAACGACAGGTGCTATCTCTTCTTCGAAAACTTTACAATTAGGCTTATTATTCGTAGTATCATGGCAGAATTATCGTCGATGATCTTCAGGGGCTTGCAATGAAAGCTGACACTGTTTCTAAATGGACGTCTCGACCTAGCGGATTGACAGATGATAAATGGATGGGACGTGAGGATGGTTCTTCTGATGATGACGAAGATGACGAAGATGGTGATGCCGAACGTACCCGAACGTCTAAACTTGCGAAATTGGAGGAATTCGGAGAATTGAAAAGCATTGAACTTGATAAGCTCTCGAAAGAGCAGCTCTTTTTGATGTTGCCATCGATTCCCTGCTATGCTTTGGATATAAAGTCTTGGTGTAAGTACTTTTGTATTGTCTCTTGCTAAGATTCACCCCCTGGGAGATAGTAATATCTGTACAATGCTGAGTGATTGTTACATAGGCACTGGGCATGTCGAGCGTATGCATGAGATAGAACCCGTTACGGATCCACCTAAGCCGGTCATGAAGGAAGGCTTCCACGAAATCATCCAGGCACTCTCTGCTAGCCAGCATACCGGAAAAGCGCAGTGGTATGCGGACTCTATCAAAGGCAAAGGCAGAGGAGTCATCATTCTTCTTCACGGTACGTACCACCATTCTGAGACGCAAAAATCTCCTCTATATCCGCTGATGTGATTGAATATTAGGGCCGCCTGGTGTGGGAAAGACTTACTCTGTCGGTATGAAAGATTTTAGATTTCTTGAATTGTTGACCGAGTAATTCGGCTGACTTGAACTGAATAGAATGCGTTGCGATTTCGACAGGTAGACCTCTACTTGCCTTGACCATTGCAGATATTGGGACCAAAGAAGATATGATCGAGACGGAGCTTTCTTCATGGTTTTATCTTGCAGAGCGATGGAAAGCCGTCTTGCTCATCGACGAGGCCGATATTTTTCTCGAACGTCGTAAACATACAGATCTTGCTCGTAATGGAATTGTCTCGGGTATGTTAAAAAAAATCCACATATTAAAATCGAAATACGTTAACGTCTGTTGAAGCATTTCTACGTAAGATGGAATATTTTCAAGGTCTCCTTTTTCTCACGACAAATAGAGTTGGACAGATCGATGAAGCTTTTACCTCGCGTGTTCATGTTGTGATTGAATATCCACCTCTTGACGATGAGAGTCGTCGTCAAATCTGGGACGGTCTTTTTGAAAAAATGTATAACGAAACCGATGGAAAGATTAAACTGAGTCTGGATACAAAGAAATATGTGAAGCAGGATGCCGAACGCTTGGGTATAGGTTTAAACGGAAGAGAAATCCGTAATGCACTTCAAACTGCCATATCACTTGCAGATTTTGAAGCCAAAGGGGAACGTGGTTATAAAGAGAGTGATCCTATTAATGTGGAAAAGGGACACTTTGAAAGAGTTTTCGAACTGAGCAAGTCATTCCGCAGCTATCTCAACTCGATCAAGCGCGATACTCCGGAATCAAGAGCTCAGAATTATTATGGCAGAAATGATAGTTATCAGGGGTCATCGGATGACAGGGCGCGCTAGTGTACCGTCTAGATGATTCATGGTTCGAAGTAAAGCATTTTGTAAAAAAAAGTATTGTAACAAAGGTCTCCAATCTCAATGTGCATAGCCCCTTCGCCAATAGTGAGATTATATTACCACTAACATAGTAATACAGGATAGCGCTCCCAGTCTCTTCCTAAAGAGAAGAAGACATTTCCTTCATCTCTTTCATCCCCTCTTTAAATACGTTTACTTAAACCTCAATTCATATCTATTTATTTAATCAAACAATACCACTGAACGAAATTATTGAGAGAACAAAGTGTCTAGAGAACTTACAGTGAAAGTGTGAAACTCTATGATAAGTATACTAAATCACTTATTAATATCTTACTAATCAAGAGATATTTTAATGAATAATATAACGTAGCTTATCATCGAGTGGGCTATATCATTAAGTGGGCCACTTTCACCTTAATTAATACCTTCAATTTCAATATATATTTTATTAACTATTTATAATACAATCTAATAATAATAAGGCACATTTACTTTTAGCTATTAAAGTTATTTAAAAAAATAAAAAACTAAGTATTCGAAAGGTTTCTCAATTATATAATATATCTTATACAATACTCAATTATAAAATAAATAGTTTATTTTTTTATATTAAAATTTAAGTAAATCAATATAATCTTATAAAAATAGAAAAGGAAATCATTATTATATATATAATTAATTTAAATATAAAAGGGTTTCTATCTAAAACCAAAAATATAAATAATATTAAAAGGAATAGAAGTTACCGGTACTAATCACATACTGTGATTAGTAATACGATTACCTAAATAGACTAAATTAAATAAATTATAAATAGACATATTAATCCCCTTTAAGAAGAGCAAAAGGGAATCAAGATATTTATACACAAAGTAATATAATTAATATAAAGACTTCTTTTACTCAATCTTTTAATAGAGTATAAGCCCGGATAATATAGCCTTTAAATATAATTAATACAATTATTATTATAATTCAATTCATAGAGTTGAAAAATATATAATATTATTCTATAATTAATATATAGTATTATAATTACTATTACTATTAATTCACGAAGTTGAAAAAGTATATAATATTATTTATAAATAAAATATATATAATGTTAAAAGGAATAGAAGTTACCGGTACTAATTACGTGCTGTGATTAGTAATACGGTTACCTAAACAGGCTAGATTAGACGAACTATAGACAGGCATATTGGTTCCCTTAGAGGGGAGTAAGAAGGAATCAAGATAATTATATGTATAATAATATAATCAATATAAAAGCCTTTTCCACCCAATCTTTTAATAGATTATAAGCCTGATTAGCACGGCTTTTGGATATAATTAATATAATTATTATTATAATCCAATTCGTAGAGTTGAAGAGTGTATGGTACTATGCTATAACTAGTACACGATACTGTAATCACTATTATTATTAACTCATGGAGTTGAAAAAGTATATAGTACTATTTACAAATAAAATATATATAGTATAACAAAAAGGTATATAGTACTAATTATATTTATATTTATAATTTATACAGATTTATTCATATAAAAAAAGGAAAAGAAAAACCTTGTAAATTCTTTATATAAATATTAAAATAAACAAAATCAAAAAGCAAACAAAAAGCATTTTGAATTTTATTCAAAAGATCTATAATTAATAGTTTCGATAAATGAAAATATAATTGAAAGAAAAGAATTGGTTTTATATAATTGAGTTTATATTATAAGAGTATATTAAGATTAAAGAAGTTAGGATGGAAATTAATAGTATTAAAGTTTTTCTGATTCTTAAAGGAAGCAAAATTATGAACATCAGGTTTAATCTAAATAAAAAGACCAAATATTTGAAAGATAAAATTAGTATACTATTATATATATATAGATCATTTAGTAATAATAATAAAGTACTTATTAATAAATATAATATAATATAAATATTATAGAACTATCTAAAATCAAAATACTTAAGAACTAATAATATTATAATTAATTTGTATTTAATAATAATCTAAACATTCACCTTCAAGCCTATTAATCATCCAGAGATGACTATTATTGAAGCCTAGAATAAATTAAAAGAATACTAATATAAGCTTAATATTACTAACCCCGTATTTAAGGATTTATATAGAGATAAAGCTCTATTTTTAATTCTAACTAAAAGTTTTTTAAGTGAATATTAAATAATAATCAATATTATAAGTATTCAAAGTATACTAGCAATAGAAAATAAAATCAAGTATCTCACAACTAAGAAACTTAATATTCAGAAAATAGAATAAAGTTATATTATTAATAAGAAGTATATAATCCCAAAACAATAAAGAAAATATAGAGAATTAAATTTATCTATAAAACAAAATTAAAATAATAAAATTAAAATCTATACTTATTATCTTTATAAATAAAAAGAATACTTTCTATATAATTATAAAGATCTTACACTTATATAAGCTTTAATTTATAATTACTATAAAGCTGAGCAACAAAAAGCAATATTTAAAAAAATAATCAAAATATTATTTATTAAGAAAAAAAGTAATTATGCTTATTTTATAGATAGCAAAAATCTTTTAATTAATTTTGATTTATTAAAAAACAAAGAAAAGTTTGATAATAAAGAGTACTATATTTCTAAAGAACTTATTTATAAGATTATTCCTTTTTATTAATATGTAGATATTAATACTTTCTTATATATATCTAATTAATTTTCTCTTTTTAGAGATATTAAGAAAATAAAGAGAAAAACAATAAAAGTTGGTAAAGGAATTATATATTATAATCAAATAAATATTATTATAATAAAACTAGGAAATGGAGATATAATTTTATTTTCAAAGATATTATATATATTAGGATTAAAAATCAATTTCCTTTTTAACAAGAAGATTTATAAAGTTAGACTTAAGGATAAATTCAATTTAGATTATATATATTTTCGAAAAAATAGAATAAATATTATTAAAGCAAAAATGAATAAAGGAATTTATATAATCTCAAATATTGTAAAAGGATATAAAGATATTATTTTTCAAAGTATAAAGATTATTAATGATATAGAATCAAATAAGACCATAATAGAAACCTTCTCGAATAGATCTAAGAACCTAGAAAACTATCTATTATGACATAGACGATTCAATTACCTTGGCCTAGAAAAGATACGAAATCTTCATAAAGTCATTATACTAGGAAAGCTAATCAAAGTCTTATTCAAGATCCCTATATACAAAGTTTGTATATTTACCAAAATAAAGAATCTAATCCCAAAACAATTCAGTCTTTATAAAACGAAAAGATTAGAATTCATTTATTTCGACATTACTAATCTATTTTTAAAGTTTTTATAAAGAAATTGCTATTTCCTATTAATCATAAACAGCTAAATAAGAATAAATTGGATTTTGATCCTAAAAACAAAAGATAAAGCTATACCAAAACTAAAGAAATAGAAAACTGAATTGGAATTAGATATAAACAACAAAATATTAATTGCTCGAACTAATAATATACTAGAACTGATTTAAGCTATTAAGAAATAAAACTCTGGAATCCGATCAGAACTAATTATTATAGTATTATTTTATTAAAACAGAGCTACTGAGAGAAATATTGGTATTGCTAAAGCTAATATAAGAGTTATACTAAAAAAGATTAGATTACCATTAGAATTCTAGAATAAAGCTATTGAATATAATATATACTATAGAAATAAAATAAATACTAAATCGATTATTAATGATAGTATTATCAGCCCTATTGAAGTGTTTATAGAATCAATTCCAGATATTAATTATTATAGAATATGGGGAAACAAATACTATATATATATTAATTCAAAGACAATCCCAAAGGATTAATGATATAATAAATTACAAGATATAACCCAAATAGGTATCTTTATGAAATACTTATATATAACTAATAAATATATTAAAGTATATTTACTAAAATTAGATTATACTATATAAATAAGCTAAGTGATTATAAACAAATTCAAAAAGGGGGGAGATCTAGATCTAAAAATAAAAAACTTTATATCAAAATTTCAAAATATAAAGAATATTATTCCTAATAGGAAATCGAGAGGTAGATCTTATAAAATACAAAAGATATAAGAATTCTTATTTGAATTACTATAAGATATTATTATTTCTAAATATCTAAAAGTTATAATCTCTAGTATATTCAAAGTTGATAATATTTAGTAATTCAATAAAAATAGTAAAAAGAATATTATTAAAATTAATTTTTCTGTAAAACTAATTTTATTTCCAGAAATAAAAAAGATAAAGATATTAAATATAGTATCTATAATTAATAAATCTTTGATTAAAATTCTAACTATATATATAAATATAGATTCCCCCAAAAAATACTTTTTTTGAAAATATAAATAAAACAATAATAAATCAAATAAGTATATTTAAAAACTAATAAAAGTAATAATAATAATACTTTTAATAAATCCAAATGAAAATATTATTAAATATATTATAATCTTTATATTTTTTATATTAAAAATTGATTTAAATATTAAAACAAAATTATTTAAAAATCTTTAATTAATCTTAAAAAGTTTAATAAATGAAAATATAGCTTTTTTTATAGAATAGATTCTAGATATTCTTATTTCTACCACATATAATCAAATGATCTCAAACCCTAAATATAAGAAAAAATGGAAGTAAATTATTAAAAAGGAAATTAGCTTATTAATTACAAATAATATTTAAAAAAAATATATTTTGTTAAAAAAAGAGAATCTTATTTTAATTAAATGAATATTTATAATAAAAATAAAAAATAATAAGATTGAGAGATTTAAAGTATGATTAATAATAAAAGGTTTTAGTTAAGTTTTTAGAAAAGATTATAATGAAATATTTGTTTTTATAATATGGTTTGATATATTTTACTTATTCTTAATAATTATTATAAAAAAAAACTTAAAATATTAGTATTTTAATATAAAA